TGAGATCTCCCCAGAGTGGCTCGATGATATTGAGGTCAGGAGACTGAGATGGCCGCTCCAGAACCTTCTACTTTATTCTGCTGTAGCCAATGACAGGTCGACTTGGCCTCGTGTTCTGAGTTGTTGTCATGTTGGAACGACCAAGTACGTCCCATGCGCAGCTTCCGGGCTGATGAGCGCAAATTTTCCTCCAGTATTTTGTAATAAGAATAGAATCGAATAGAACTTTATTGATCCCGTTGGTGGAAACATCAGGGAAATTGCTGATGACACATGCTGCATTCATCTTGCCATCAATTTTGACTAAGTTCCTGTGCCTTTTTCTTTTTTTTTTTGAGGCTTGTCTCTGTGCTGTTTGCCGTATTGTAAGCGGGATGTTTTGTGGCATTTGCGTAGTAATGGCTTTCTTCTGGCGACTCGACCATGCAGCCCATTTTCCTTCAAGTGCCTCCTTATTGTGCATCGTGAAACAGCCACGCCACTTCTTTTTTCACAGAGTCCTGTATTTCAGCTGAAGTTATTTGTGGGATTTTCTTTGCAACGCGAACAATTTTCCTGGCAGTTGTGGCTGAAATTGTTGTTGGTTGACGTGACCGTGGTTTGGGTTCAATAGAATCCCTCATTTTCTACATCTTAATGAGAGTCTGAACACTGGTGATTGGCATTCTCAATTCCTTGGAGGTCTTTTTATATCTCTTTCCTGTTTTATGTAATTACCTTTGACAATTCTTTTGCTTTCCCCATGACGTCAGTGTAGCACTGGATGAAAGATGAAAGGTTCTGTCAAGAGCGAAGAAACTCACTGACCTTTCATACACACACACACACTGATTACAAGCAAACAGATCACAGGTGAGGATGGCTACCTTTAGTAGCCATTCAAACCTGTTTGTGTCAACTTGTGTGCACGGTATTAGGTAAAAATCACCAGGGTATGTCAACTTTAGATCAGGGTCATTTGGGTAGTTCTGTTGCCATTATGATTTCAAAGAGTAAACACAGCTGTTTGACAATAAATGACTTCAGAGTGAAAAAAAAAAAAAAAAGTTTTTCTATTGTCATTTATATTCTCTGAAAAATGGGTAAACCGGACAATTTAGAATCACCAACTAACCTCAACATGTTTTTGGACTGTTTGGGAGGAAGCTGGAGAACCAGAAAGATCCTGGGTGTCCTCACCGGGACGCAAACCAGCGACCTTCTTGCTGCGAGGCAACAGTGCGAACCACCTTTCCACCTTGCAACCCTAAATCTGTGATAAATGTGTTAAATTATTATTTTTTTAATAAATCCAACAGAGTTCAGGTAAAAATTACTGGAAAATAATAAATTGTTATGATTATAAAAGGTTCACTGACAAGTCAGAATGATTACAGTCATAGCAGGTACAACAGAGAGAAAAAAACACACCATGTTTGTTGACAGTTTTAAAATTGGATGGGAATCTAGTGGGAGTTCATCCTTCCTGCTGATATTTTTTTCTCACTTCTCTCCAGCATGTGTGCACTCATGCTGTAGGGACATGGATTTATTTGACCCTTTTGGGAACAAAACGCAAGGCCCCATATGGTAAAGCAACACATAAGCCTATGGGTGAGTAGTTTTAGGTCAGAGAAGTTAGGCTTTTAGGAATTGGAGCATGTTCAATCTTCAGGAAATGACCAAAAATGAATGTAATGTCCACTGAATTGACAGAAACATGACAGAGAGTTTGTCACTGGATGTGGGCGGACGGCTGGTTAACTCAGCGGCGCAAAACAGGTCTCCTGAGCAGCAGCGGCTGTGATAATCATGGTGGGCAGCAGCTCGGTTCCTGATCCCAGAGGGTGAAGTCAACATGGCTGCTTAATACAGCCAAGCTGCTGTGACACGTGAAAAAAATAAATTAAAGAGAGATTCAGTGAGCAAATTAACTTTTGAGAGATGAGTTAAATGACGGTAAAAGCTGCTGCTCTTTATTGATATCTCTTGTTAAAGGTAAAGCAGTTAGACAGTAGGAGATGTAGACGAAAGTCAAATTCTGTTTTTAATTTAAAAGACAGATGAGATGCGAGTTGAGCAAAAACACCTCAAGCTCAACATTAAGAAAAGATCATGAATATTTCGGACTTTGTGTGCATATGAAAGTATAGATGTGAAAGATGTGAAGATTTTCATTTCAGAAATGACATTTTCCTCTCATTTCCAGGCTCCACACTGGTCTGATGAAAAAACAAGTGATTTCAAAGTAAAATTTGTGTGTTGTACAAGTTTTCGTTGCAAAACACACCACTGGCTCATTCATTTATGTTTTTCAGAAGTAAGTAAATAAAATCAATGAATTATTAATTACATCTGTGCAAATTTTGTATCTTTTATTTTGTGTTAATTTTCACACAACACTCTTAGTCTGAAAGCCTCGATGTGACAAATTTAAAGGCCAGCCAGGCTGAAATTGGAAAAAGAGCAAAACCCTGTTGCAGAATCAGAATGAAAACTAACATATAGCCTCATGTCAAAACATCAGCATTTCACCCTTAAACCTTTTCTTCAAACTAAAGCTACACTCTTCCTCAGAGAACTCAAAGAAGTAGGGCAATCATGAATCTCATGAAAATACTTCATCTAATTGGGACTTATTTCTGTTAGACTGATCTGTTGCTACATTTTTACTTTAAACAATGATAATATACATTTACAAATACCTTCTTGTTGCTTTTCACGTCAAAGAATTTAAGAAGCCATTTTTTGCAGTGCACTGAACTTTTTTATAACATAAGTTAAGCTTGTTTACCAGTATTAAGCTTTCGTGCCCTTCAATAAAATGCCAAATGCAAAAAAAAAGTATTCTGGGGGTGCCCCACGCCACTTAAAAATGCCCTAAATATAACATGGAAAACAAAGTATAAGTATTTTTTACTGTTTGTCAATTTTATGATTTCAATAATTTTGCAAGTAAATGCAACAAAATGTTCTATTTGCATAAATTCAACTAAGCCGCTGCTCTGCTAATAAAATATCGCACTATAAATGCAAACACAAACCAAACAGGGCAAATAAACAAACTGTCATGGATCACTGTCCACGGACAATTTTACTTGATGATGTATGACAAACAAGGCAGTTGTCACCTTTCGGTTGAGCTCCGCCTCAGAGGCAAATAAAGCTTTCAGGACTATGAATACTAATCTTATGTATTCATTTTAGAATCAGAAAACAAATGATTTCAATAATAGGAAAAACTGAGTGTTTATTTTAACGTCCAGCACAATGTTTTAAAGCACTCATTTCTCCCAGCTGTGTGAAAACCACAGCATGTCTTTGCCTCACAAAGAAAACACCCTGTTCGTATTAAAGTACTATGTGAAACAGTGTGAAGCCATTTACATTTATTAATTGCTTTTTTTTATCGCAAATGAGGATTGTGATGTAATTCAACAACTGAGACCTTCCCAGACTTTTCCTCACTCCCTCTTCCTGTGCTGCTTTTCTGCCTCTCTGCTCTTTACAACCACTTATCTCACTTCACCTTCACAATTACATTCTCACCTGATAAACAGCTGTGAGCATGCTATTGATGGCGTGCACCTCGTTCATGAACAACAAGGGTTTTATGAATGTTATGCAGAGAATCTTTGATGCTGCAACCCTGTAACTAACATTGATCATCTGGCCACAGTGCAATGCTGGGACATCTTGTTCCAGACCAAGCGCTCCCCCTCATCATAGCATGACACGCTCCAACGCCAGTGGCCTCTACCAGCAGGACAAAATCACCCTGGAACATGAAAAAGAGCACAAGACCTGACCTAAAAA